TCACTGAACGGAGTTGTGGCGGCTCCTTCATTTCCTGAGAGTCAGCGGATACGTCTGTACCCTGTTCATTGAAAACGCGATAAAACACAGCCAAATGGAAAGGTGTCAGCACGAACTTCGCCTGAAGAAGTACATTTTCAGCTGTCTGTCGCACTGACTTGTTAGCGTTAAGCAGGAATGAGTAATACTCAGTGTATCTTCAGCAAGAAATTTAGGTTTCAAAAAGTTTCTTCCAAGGATTCCACATAGTCCCCACTTGTCAATGAAAATCTGAGAACAACTCTGAACTCTCGCTAATCAACACGATACAGACCGAGTTGCAGACCATCTTCGACAGTAATCTCGATGGCTTACAACTAATGCACTGGTCAGCAAGTTTTGTCTCAGATAGTCAATAATACGGTCTCTTTATACAACCTCACAAAGATCCGTAGCTCTACATCGCTTTATTCAGAAGAGATTCATCGAACTCATAATAAATACCCTTGGGCGCATTCAAGTAAGAGCGTATCGAGCAACGATCGGCGGTGATGCAACGCCAGCGTTACATATGGCGACTCATCTGTACGAAATTTGCACTCATACGCCTTAGATTTTCTTTTCAAAAAACAGTTTTTCAATGATAAGATAACTTCACAACCAAATCCTTCCTTTTATTCGAAAGATGGAATGAAAGCAAAAAAAAAAGTAAACATAACTAGCCTTACATCGATGGCACGACGATACGATTCAAAACGAGCGACAATTTGTTCCATTATATCTGCAGGCACTGTGAAAAGGTCGTCTTCAATCATTTTAAATCTTGTGGCTACCAAGTTGCCGATATACTGTGCCTGTGAATGAAACTATTTTGTTCAGGACTTTTTACCTTTGACTAAATAACTTACTGCTTCTTGAAAATGGCTTTTACAGATGCGTTTGCGTAAGCGCATACTCTCGTTGTACAAACTTTGTGCATCGGACAAAATTATTTTCTCCTTCTCTAGCATCACACCCAACATTATGAGCAGAGTTTCCTTGGACTTAGTTCGACGACAGTCTTTCTCGTCGCGGTAGCTACAGCATAAACGGCATATCTGCATTTTTTCTGTAAAATATCGCATTTATATTCACGCACAAATGGTCACACTGCAACAAACACTTCCACACGGTATTTTTCGAAGGAACAAATGTTACGAGAAACTTTTTACAAAGAACTGAAGGAAAACGAGAGAGATGAAGGTGAGTGAAATGCTGAATACAAGTATGGAAGCTTCAATCTCTACCTGTATTTCTCGAGTATGTTGTAACAATCAAAGTAAACAAGAATGAACTAATTACCACGGAAAAGCGAAAAGCCCTGATATTCACATTGGCTGTTCACCGCGGGTATGTGGACTTAAATGCGTCCGAGGATGCGCGCGGCAAGTTGCGCGGCGGAGTTCGTAACAATTTGAACGATCAGCGCCTAATTTTGGAGCCCACATTTGAAGTAGAGTAGCTGAGAAGGATTATCTGACCCTAATAAACTACTCCACTTCGAGTTTGTGCCCCGAAAATTGGCGACAGAGTCGTGCAGATCGTCACGAACTTTGCCGCGTAAGTTGCCACGCGCGTCCTTGGACGCACGTAATGCACGTCTCCCCCCTGTATCGGCCAATACGCATTCAAAAAGCCACGACGTTCCTGACTGAAAGTCGTGGGTAGGGTGCATCCCAAAATAAGATTATCAACAATGATAAAATGCTGAAGATGATATGAACGTGATAAAACGAAAAAATAATCAAATGACTCGGAAATGTACATTATCAACGATTTTGTGCGCTGGGGTGCAACCTTCTCGAAAGAAGTGGAAAAGTGAAACTTGCTCAGAAAATCCAGGTTCCAGCTTCGGCCTCCATATTTGTGTCCAGTATTCCAAACTCTATCGTCCACAGGAATTTAAGACCAGTCCCACTAGATGGTGTCATCATACAACCAAAAATTTTGCAGTATACATCGTGATAGTATAACACAAGATATCAGTTTAACATTACTAGGCTTTACAAATATTTTATTTTATTTCAATGATTATTCCTTTGTGTAATAATTGTCATTAAATCGCAATTGAAGTTGTAATGGCAGTTTGTGACATCTCAGATTTTCCACTAACTGGCCTGGGCCACAACAGTCGGTCTTGTACCACCCTATCTAGCGATTGTCTTAGGTAAGGTAATAGCCAATAAATATGATAAATATGTATACATGCTTCTATAAACCCGACAACTGAACAGAAAAAGAGACCTCAATAAAAAAGATATGAACTGGGTTCAACGACTAAGAGGCCTAAGAATGACAACCATTGTTTACCTATTGACAACATAGTTAATCGTCCAAAATTGTTGATTAACAAGTGTTAGCACTGTGAACAATAAAAATAATAGTGCTAGCTCTGTAATTAATAAAAATATGAGGTAACGTATTATATATGTGCAATTCTGCATAATGGTAGCGTCTGTGACAATGATATCATGAACTGCTGACCCATTGATGTCTCGCCTTTCCCGCTACCCAATCCTTGCCACCTTTCCATTTTGATAACGATAAAGCTGTGGAACAGGTGTTATCCTGCTATCGTAAAGTGACAATTCAGCTTCAGGTTCCTAAAAGGTTCTCTGTGTATGATCGAATCTTGACTTGAACAATTGCTTCTTTGCTGCTGCACTTACCTCTTCTGTTGGTCGTCCATTAGATGAGCAGCCAAGCAATGTTTCAACTAAGACACCTTGCTCTGCGAATTGGCTGTCCTTCTCATCAACGTCCAGATCACTTCTGTCTACCAAATCAACCTTTTTTTCCTCGGGATCTGGTTGAAACATCGGGGAGAAGCTTGATGCGATTCCGCAATCATCGTCTATTAGCACCACATCGTTGTCCTCCTCTTTGGCCCTGAAATAGAACCAGTGGAGGACCGAACAGGCTCCTTATGATTCCATTAAGTAATAGCTTTGAGTAATCAGTAAAGAACCTTTTTTCCGGAGGATGATCATTCCACTTATGAGGCTGAGGCGGATTCATCGGACCTGGTAAAACAACTTCGATGTCGTCGGTTTCATCTTCTTCATCCAACCGATTCACAGAATCCGGTCGAACGCGTTTGAGC